CCAGGGTGGTGTCAATTTGACGGAGAAATAATTTAATGCAAGTCTCTAATAAGCTGACTCCGAACCAGTTTTTAACGGAGGGGTTTAGCTTCGGGACTAAAAAGTTTATTTGAGAATATCGATTGAATTGACAGTTAATCAAGGAGGAATTCATGTTGATTTGAGAATTTTAACAAGAAGAAGAAGAAGAAGAAGAAGAAGAATATGTTAATGTAGACAGGGTAAAGAATACGGAGGATGACTGCTCAGGTTTGAGGAAAAGGAAGGGGTGGGGGTGATGATTTATTGAACAAAAAAATTGTATCGTTGAGATATTAATGGTGGAAATAGAAAAATAAAAGCAACCCAGATCAATCTTCCTTCGCAGATAATCAAAGAAAGATTGATGCGGGTTGCTTTTACATGGAGCAGGGTCGAAGTTTTTACAAAATTCAACCTGGATCAGCGGATTGTTGATCATCTAAGCTCCTTCACGGGGACAGCCCTTTCCTTTTCATCGAAACTTTCAGTGCTGCTGACTGTAATATAAGGTATGATAATATCCATCCATCGCTGTTTGTTGTTCTCCTTGTGTGGCGTAGCAGCTGTTTTCCTTGTGTGGCCCTAAATTTCTTGCAAGAGAAAAACAGAATCAGATTTTCGCGCATGGAAAATGCTAACTCCATTGCCTTCCATGGTGGTGAAGAAAATGAAACTCAACTTCTGCTGCAGCGGTTCAAAAGTGATTTGGAAAGATTTCACTGTTAGGGTATATTTTGATTGTCGATTTTTAACTTGTTTCCTCGTGTGACCTCGGACCAAATAATGATCGCCCTTGAAGCACTTGACTAAATCCAACCCGTTGTGCTCTTGAAGCACTTGACCCTACACAATCCATTGTGCAGTGCTGTCCCTAGGAATTTGATGATACCCAAGGAACTGAAGAGGTAGAGTGTTAACCATACTTGCTTATATAGCGTGAAGAAATAACTCAAATGAGGATTCTGTAATATCATGGCATAAACGGTGTGCTGATGAACTTTAATTCTTAAGCCTTGAAATGAAAAGAAGAAAGTATATATGACATACAGTTTTGCCACGAGCTCGGTTTTAAGCTTTATGAGTCTGACAGCCAGTTGAATTGGCGCTGCCTAAAGAGGTCACAGTTTAGTTTTAGGTTGAAAGTGATCAACCATTTCCGGACTGGTAGAGTGGTTGCTTGAAGGTTCTTAATTACTTCTGAGAATCTCTGATTGATTTTGGGGAAGGGAAGTTGGGCACAGATTTTGGAGCATCTCCGGGAAGCTCCAACTCCAATTGTCTCGTAAAATTCTCCAACCTGATGGAGCAAGTTTTATGCTTTTATGAAATACTAAGACTTTTGTTCCCTACCAAGTTATGATGGAAACAAGTATTTCGTATTGTCAACCCTAACTATTTTGGCACTGAAATATCATGATTTTGTTAAAGATTTTGATTAGATTACTTATTAAAAATTAAATATATTAATATAATATTTAATATAATTCAGTAAATTATCTATATTCACAGGAAAAATTTATATTATTAGAAATAAAAAAATAATACAATAAAAATATATAAAGAAGAAGAATCACATTTATTCTACTCAATTTCCAACTTTTATTGCTGTATTTATAGTTACTGCAATAACAACAAGGATATTTTCATTATTATTTTTTTTTCTTACGCACACTCACCACTTTCTTTCTTTCACTTTGCTTTTTAATTTATATCTTCATTTATAGGCATAAATGATAAGATAATTTAGTCATAAATTATGATATTAATAATAACAGCATATAAATTATATCATTTTAAAATACATGAATTGTATCATTTTGTTAATATATAGTGTAACTTATTTGATAATATCCATTTATTATTGTAGTCTTTTGATAATAACATCTCACTTTTTTAGAGCAGGCTGTGCATATATTATATTGCCGTGAAATTCGCTGAATTTAACCATTAATGTTAAAACTTGGAGATTTTTAGTGGTTGTTTCTTGCCCCTTAGCAGCATTCTTTACCTGTATATCTAACAGGCTCAGAGCCATTCTTGATGCGAAATTCAAGCTTGGAAACAGTGGTGGAAAGCCTTTTAAGCCCACAACAGATGATTTAATACGGGTTTTAGAGGATGTCTTGGTATTCTGGATCCAACATATGATATGAGTGGTCCGGTGTTCTTTCCCCCGGTGAGCAGCAGCTCCTTATTCTTGCACGTCTCTTGCTTTCAAAACCGAAACTGGTTCTAATGGATGAATCTACCAGTGCTTTGGATGTAGCCAACGAGGAATTTTTGGTTATAGATTCATCTTATTCTCTCTATTAGTCATGCTGTTGCAACCAATGTGCTAAATCTGCAAATGTCTTGCACTCTATTTGAGTAACAAATCACACCTTGTGGCACGAAAAGCCGCTGGGCACCTCCAAATTAGAGTTTCCTACCATTGTAATTGCACTGAGCAAAGACTCCACTGGCTAGACATAGTCAGATTTTATACACGATACATGTAACTCTGGAGAGTAATGGACTATGTGGTGAGTGGAAAGGATCGGAAGAAGCAAATACACAAGTTGCCAATGGCACTCAATTGTCCAATCATGAGATCCAGCACACACTTGGTTCTCATAATTAGTGGTTGTTATTCTGCGTTTGCTAAGACCAGTGATCATCAGAGATGCTTCCTAATTATTCAGGCATATTGTTTGATTAACAATGGAATTCCTTGTGTTTCGGTTCTGAATAACTCAATGGCCGTGTTGCATTTTTGCAGGCACATCTGTACAGCACATTGAGGCTGAAGGTTTAACATATATTAGCATTGGCCATGTTCGAACTCTCTATGACCACCATAGAAGGAACTTACATATAACTACAGTGATCCCACCAGCAACGAGCGCAATTGTCATATTCAGTCCATCAATCGTGATTCCGAGTAAAATGTTTCGAATCGTTAGTCAGTGTTAATATGTTGCAGCTGTCATAGAATCAAATAACATGGTTTAGCTGCGCGTTTTCATAAAGTTACCTTTTTCTCCAAATAGGAGAGGATAGTGATAGAGACATCGTACAAATCTTGTTCAGAAATACATGAAACGGAAATACTAATTCACACATCAGATTAATCCAATTTCTGCAGTGTTGCTCTGTGTTTCCAGTTATCCTACTTTTTCTGAAGATTTTAGTTCAGATTTTACTTTCTTTTCCGACCTCTGTTTCGCTGTGATTTCTTAAAAGATAATTCCACTAAATCCCCGCCTCCGTTTGCTTCTCTAACGAATAGAAGCATTAGCCCAAAACTTAGTGTTTCTCGAAAAGAACTGATGCCATTGCTTTATTAAACCAAAATTTGAAGCTTAGAAGTTACTGGTTCATCAGCAGCAGTACTCTTCATGTTCACTGCACTAGGTGGTGGCAAGGTGATGGTGACTTTTCATCTCCTTGTACAGGTGTTTAGATATCTTGGTTGTGTTAAAGGTGGCCTAACTCGAGTAAGTGGCTACTTATGTCGACATACATGCACTTGGAAATTTGATCTTGCAGACCTAGAACATGTTTTAATGCTTGTTATATATACTTGTAGTGTTAATTGATGAAGATTGACAATGTTTTGCTTGATCTTGGCATTCCATTTATTGGTTGTAGAGATCCAAACGCAGACGAAGCTTGCCATTTCAATGTCAGTGGCTTCCTTGTGATAAGATTTAGTAGTTTGGTTTGTTTTTATGGAATTTTAGCAGTTGTCTAGTTGAGTTTCTGGGTCAAGACAATTCCTAATGCTTGTTGAGTTATTTCCTAATTTTTTTCCTTGCTTGCGTGTTAATTGCTAAAGCTTTTGGTATTCTTGTTTTTATTTAAAAATATATTAAAATAATATATTTTTATTTTTAAAAATCTATTTTGAATATCAACATATTCAAATAATATAAAAATACAAAAAAATTAAAATATTTTTGTTAAAAAATTACAGTCATAGCAAAATATCGCAACACTAAACAGTAACTGATTCTTATGGGTATCTGGCTAATTAATTCTGAGTTTTTAATGATGATGTGACAGCAGCAAGACTCGAAAATAAAAATAAAAGACCCCCTTGATAGAAAATAATGACCGTGAATATCATGTAAAAACGATTTATGCTGGACTGGTATGAAACAAGTACCAGTTTGAAGAAAACGGAGGAAAAAACATGACGGCAAGACAAGGCTCTTTTTGTTTTAAAGATTTTGTCCGGTCAGCGCACTCACCTTTCTTCCACACACCGCCCCCGTACCCACCCCCCACCCCCCCCAGCCCGCACGCACTCTTAAACCGTAGAAGGGTCTAAAAAGCCGAGGGAAAGAATGAAAACAAGTTAGAGGCAAAGTTAAGCCATTACATGAAAAACACATAAAAAACAACAAAGAGAAAAGGGAACGAGGGATAAGGATAAGTCCTAAAGATGCAACCTAAGTGAAGGGATAATGTAAAGTAATGGAAGAATATCAGAATCATCATTCAAAGCCCAAACAGACAGAAGCAAAGATGGAGGGGCAAGAGTCCTCGTTGAACTCGGTCTAAGGTTTTTAACATATCACCATGACCTGTTCCTGTCGTATTCATGCACGCCAACATACATAAGCCTGCCCGTATGGAAAAAAACGAAAGAATGCTAGTTTTGAGTGGGGCCGTGCGTTGCTTTCTTTGTATAAAAAACTCCATCAAGAAAATTCTCTCCAAGTCGTCATCTCGTATATCGTGTGAATGCGTGACCAAAGTTATTTATCTATCTCCATCTTTTTTTTTATTCCTCATTGGAAGCAGAAACCCTTTTATAGCAGTTAGCAAACCCTTTTATAGAAGTTAGCTATTAAAGCGAAAAGACTCTCCCTATTTCCTCATTGGAAGAGTCCAAGAAAATCTAATAAGAAAGAAAACCCTAAAACCAACGGTAAAAAGTAAAAGCTTTTTAAAAACAAAACTGTCATTTTTTTCCTATTTGTTCGACACTTGAAAATTAGAAGGAAAAAAATATATCAGTACATCATATAAGCAGTAGAAGGCATCCTCTAACCCGCCGCCTCTGAAACAAAAACACAAAGGAGGAGAAGAGGCCTTTGGTTGGTTTAAGGAAGGAAGATTTTTTCTTTCTTAACATCTTTCTCTTGACTCTGATTGTTTCTATAACCCCATTTGCGGGGCTGGTTTGATTTGAAAGAAAGACTTCTCTTTTCCAATATCTTTCTTTTCCTGGACTAAGGAAGGGAGACGACACCAACATATATTCACTAAAAAGCAGAGAAAGCGGTAGAAAGAGAGAAGCTTCAGGTGAAAGTGAGGGTTGGCTTTGTAAAGACCGTCATTGAAGACAAGGTGGTTTTCTCATTATTCACACCAAAACCCACTCTGGGTACAATATCTATGTTGATGACATCTCTTATCTGTTTTCCTTTGACCTCTCAACTTTTTATTAGTTTTTATTCTTGTTTATCCATTGGTTTTATCAGTACTAAGACACCCTCCACTCTTTTTAAAGTCTCAGTCTTTCATCAGTTATCCTTATCTGCTTCTGTTTGCTTGTTTTCTGGTGCATTTTTTGTGTGTTTTGGTATTGAATTATAAAGCTCTGTTCTTTTTATCAGAAAGAGCATTGACAATGAAGTACGTATTGGTTACTGGTGGTGTGGTTAGTGGACTTGGCAAAGGTGTTACTGCCAGTAGTATTGGTGTTCTCCTCAAAGCTTGTGGCCTTCGAGTTACTTCTATTAAGATTGGTATGTGTGTGTGTATACATATATTTTTAATAATGTCTTGCAGTGTATTTTTAAATGGAGATCGTATCGGTTGCTTTTCATTTTAATTAGATTAAGTTGTGGATTGATAGTTTGCTCTTGTTAGGTTGTTTTTTAATTGATTAGTTTGTTGGGTTGTTTGTTAAATATGTTGAGCCTTTTTTTTTTATACTGGGTAGGGATTTTGAATGAGGAAGTTGGTCTGTAGTTGAAATTTTGTATCTGTTTTGTCGACGTTGTCTCTGAACTTTGTTGGCTACCATTTTAAACAATTTATCTCATGCGTATTCGTCTCTGATCCTCTAGTTTCGGAATCACAATATAAATCGAAAGAAAAAAAATGAAGGGTGGTCGCATTGTTTGTTGAAGCTACTGCATGCTTCCATCTTGGAATTCCTTATCATGGAATGCCTTAAATGTCTTTGGATGTTTTTGTTAATTGTTTCGATAGCCTAACCTCATGCTTGGCTATGTTTTCAGACCCTTACCTAAATACTGATGCGGGCACTATGTCTCCTTTTGAGCATGGAGAGGTCTTTGTCTTGGATGATGGCGGTGAGGTAAATTCACTGAATAAATTATTTTCCTCACAAGTATTTCTGGAGCACCCCTTCAGTGTCAATTCCATGGTTACTTCCATGATTAACATGCTTTCTGCAAAGATGATTAATTTCTTCTTTTTTATGTAAAAGGTGGATCTGGACCTTGGTAATTACGAGCGGTTTCTAGACGTTAAGTTAACCCGTGACAACAATATCACAACTGGAAAAATATACCAGGTAATGAATGTCTCCAGGATGACGTTAAGTTTATGAATTAGATGCGGCTTCACCTTAATTTCTTGCTATCTTGAAATTTCTGTCTTGATAAAATAGTCTGTTCTGGAGAAGGAGCGGAGAGGAGATTATCTTGGAAATACTGTGCAGGTCCGTTCCACATTCTGCTGTTCTTGACCGAAGCCTGTCATCATTTACCATGGAGTTAAATTTTTTATTTTGATTGTTGTCACTGCAGGTAGTTCCACACATCACAGATGCCATCCAAGAGTGGATAGAGCGTGTAGCCATGATACCAGTGGATGGAAAAGAAGGTCCAGCTGATGTTTGTGTCATTGAACTTGGTGGAACTATAGGTACTTAATTGCTGTTGATGTTTGTCAGATAAGTCGTTTTCCTTTTTTATTTTGTTTACTTAGAATGAAGCTAATTTTATGCAGGGGACATTGAATCTATGCCATTTATTGAGGCACTAGGCCAGTTCTCTTATCATGTGGGTAAGTTGATCTGCTCTGGACCTCTGTTTTACAGGCTCATAAAAAGAGATTTCTCTTTTATTTGGGTTCTGTGGAACCAAACTCTTACTTAGCTGCTGTGTGTTTTTAGGCCCTGGAAATTTCTGTTTGATCCATGTCAGCCTGGTGCCTGTTATTAATGTTGTTGGTGAACAGGTACGTATAAAGTTTTATCTTCCTCAACATGGCGTTGCACATTGATTCTTAGTTTCTCACTTGAATCTGGCTGGGGCACTTTCTTATGCATTGTATTGACTAAATTACTTCTAAGTTGTTCTGCTCTAACTGTTGTTGTATATGTATAGAAAACGAAGCCTACCCAGCATAGTGTTAGGGGGCTTAGAGGACTTGGGTTGACCCCAAACATTCTTGCTTGTCGCAGCACTAAGGTTCTCCTCGCTTTTCTCGTTGCTGGTTGCTATTTCATATTTCCTTCATGGCTTGTGGTTGCAGTCTCCTGATTCTAAACTTTATTCAATAGGCACTCAATGAGAATGTTAAGGCCAAACTATCCCAGTTTTGTCATGTGCCGGTACTGCAAGATAAACACTTTTATTGTTTTGTTTGGCTTTTATTAATCACAGCTACTGAATCTGACAATATGGCTTTGTGTGCAGGCTGAAAATGTTGTCACCCTATATGATGTCCCTAATATTTGGTACATTCCCCTACTACTAAGAGTGAGTGGTTTACTATGGGTTTTCTGATTCTTTATTCTTTTTTACTAGTCTTCAAACAAGAACTTCCTCTGCTTTTACCTTTTTAATTGTTTTCTCTTGACATGATTAGGATCAGAAGGCACATGAAGCAATCTTGAAAGCACTGAAACTTCCAGGGTTAGTGTTATGAACTCACTATATGTTTCCTTTGTGATTTGTTTTGCTTTTCATTTGGTGCATGCTCTCTCTCTCTCTCTCTCTCTCTCTCTCTCTCCAAGTTCATAGTGATAATGTTGTTGCATCAGCCTTAGTTTTTTAACAAGAGTATTAACATTTCCATAATCCTCAGTGTTGCCAGGGAGCCTGATTTACAGGACTGGATTACTAGGACAAGAGTCTATGACGTACTTCTTGAACCTGTGAGTCAGAAAGATATCCTCGATTTAAATTAATATTTGCATTTTTGTTCCATCTAACCATGAACTTAATGGGTATTACAGGTTAAAATTGCCATGGTTGGAAAATATACTGGCCTTTCTGATTCTTACCTCTCTGTTTTGAAGGTGAGTTCCTGTTTGCAGTCATATCATCAGTTACAAGCCTTTTCTGCATTGAACTTGAAAGCATGTTTGTATTTTTTCTGGAGCTATACATGTTCCCTGGCCAATCTTAGAAGGGCTTCAAAAATCTCCTAAAGACTTTATGTGGATTATGCTCTTTCATTACCAGGTTTAATCTCCACGTAACTAATCATACTGAACATAAAATCAATGAGAAACATCATATGCCATTCCTCAATCTTGAAGAGGAAGCACCAACCCTGTATTCTTTTTTTGGATTTTGTTTTATTGCATTGAAGAACTTATGAGATATTATATCCTAAGTTTTTTGGGTTACTGTGGCAGGCTCTTCTGCATGCTTCTGTTGCTTGCCGGCGAAACCTTGTTGTAGAATGGGTGGCTGCAGGTGATCTTGAAGATGTTACTGCTAAAGAGGTCAACAATGATCCAACTTCTGCATTGCAATTTTAAGATTTCACCCTACTCACACCATCAAGCGCCGCCCCACCCCCACCCACCCCAAAAAAAATAAAAAAATAAAAATAAAGGACAATTTCTTTTTAATGAAGAGAATAAAAAAGAGTATCCTAGACTGCTTTTTTCAGCCCAATATTTGTAGAATTTGATCTTTGGCTACTGTTTCTCCTTGCAGGCACCTGATGTTTATAAAAATGCATGGAATCTTTTGAAGGTGAACTTAGATATGTCTTTTAAATTGAAGCTCCTCTGGTTACATTTCTTTTCTTGGTTTGTATTTATTTTCTTCAGTCTTATGAGATTGTTTTTAATGCAGGGCTCTGATGGTGTTGTAGTTCCAGGAGGGTTTGGTGATAGAGGGGTTCAAGGAAAAATTATTGCTGCAAAGTATGCTCGTGAGAACAAAGTCCCATTCCTGGGCATTTGCCTGGGGATGCAAATTGCCGTAATTGAATTTGCTCAATCTGTTCTTGGTTTGGATGACGCAAACAGTACAGAATTTGATCCTCAAACTTCACATCCTTGTGTCATATTTATGCCAGAGGCATGTAGTGCTGCAGTCCTGACTGTTGATGTGGAATTTGGTCAATTGTTGTTTCATATGTTGAAGCTATTTGCTATAACTCTGTTTTATTTGATAGGGTTCCAAAACTCACATGGGGGGAACTATGCGTCTGGGTTCAAGAAGAACTTATTTCAAAGTTCCTAATTGCAAATCTGCAAAGTTGTAAGATTTATGACTCCTTCATATCTGTACACATCCATCACACTATATCACTTCATTTAGAGTATGCCACATGTATGCTTTCTTTTTATTATAATCTTCCTATGCACAAATACATATTTATATTACTGTGAAGACATCATTAGACGATGATGACAGCCATGAGACAGGTGAAGATGGCTGAAAGATCCAAATCCAACATTTGTTTTTTGCTCTAGTTGACCTGCCTAATCTTCTGTACTTGTGTTTAGGTACGGCAATGCCAGTTTTGTTGATGAGCGTCATCGTCATAGATATGAGGTAACTGTTTCCCATGGGCAAACATGTGGAAGTACTCTGCATGAAGAAAAAAAGTTCAATATGTCTTGCTCTTGTATATGTCTCAGATCCCTAAGAAATTGTTTATTTTGAGCAGGTCAATCCAGACATGGTAGCACAATTTGAAAATGCTGGTCTATCATTTGTTGGCAGAGATGAAACTGGCCAGCGCATGGAGGTATGTTTCTTTGAAATCATGGCAAGTGATGTATTCTACAAAGCCTAGTATTCTGATGGGTGTCAGGTGGTTATGAGCATTTTACTGTTATTTTGAGCAGGTCATTGAACTGCCTAGTCATCCATACTTTGTTGGTGCTCAGTTCCATCCTGAATTCAAGTCAAGGGCAGGAAAACCTTCAGCTCTTTTCTTAGGTATTATTTCCACTAATCACAACTGTTCAAAGTGCTCTTTTCTTAGCATTTTATAAAGTGCCTGTACTTTAGTTGGTGTTGCTTACTGTCTGAAGCTGAATTTTGAAGGGCGCTGTCCGGAGGTCATAACTGTAGCTGTGTTCAAACTTCATAACAAGTTCATTAGGAATTATATAATTGAGGGGAAAATATTCCTTTGTATCTTCTCCTGTTGCTTACTCTTTTGACAAGTTCCATTTTACCTTTGATACACCTAATATTGTTATTAACTACCTATGTTATCGAGTAGGCTGCACCATCAATGCCTCATTCCCCATTATCACCGTGCATTTGGCTTGGGCAGTCAGAGGACAAGCAGTCCATTTTATGTCATGCCTGGTCAAATGCACATTTGAGCATCCTCTTCCTCCTTAGGTATCTTCTTAATTCCTTCGCTATGTTACAGGACTTATAGCAGCAGCAAGTGGGCAGTTGGATGCTGTCCTGCAAAATTATGGCCATGCAAGCAAGCTATTGCCAAATGGAATGAGCAATGGAAAACCAATAGTGAAGCCCTATCAAAATGGGAACGCCATTAAGTCTTCCAATGGATCATTAAATGGTGCACATAGCAATGGCAATGGTGTGCACTATTAAGGAAGTGATGAACTTGAAGTGCGCTTCTGGTTATGGTTTCAGTTTTCTAAGGGTTTTCAATTCGGTTTCTCTTTGTACAGCTGTTGAGCATGGGGTAGATAATTTTAGCTTTTGAGTGACTTGTTTTTGGAGAAAATCGGAGTCTGAACTCTTGGAATGATGATAGCCTGTATTCTCCAGTTTGTCAGTGAAATATGGGCTCGAGCTGCAGCATCACCCTCTTGTTGGACAAACTGTCCTTTTTCAGTGGGAATTTTGGCTGTTTGTTTTTTGTTTTTTGAAGAGAGAAGATGTTTTAAGTCTACCCTTCCATCAACAATATAGGAATTGATACGTGTTGCGGTGATACCCCATGACTGAAGCAGGCACCTCTGGCGGCAACTTTTGGCAATATATCGATTTGTTCTCGCACTCGTCAATTCGTCCCCTGCTCTTTCGGTCGCTTATTAAACTTAGAAAGGCAATGGATGTGTAAACTTCTGTTGCGAAGCATTTGTTGACATTCTGTTTTCTTAAATATTTACATTGTATGGCTGGACAAATTTAATGTTTTTCAATGGTATTTCCCTCAAATATCTGCAAAGAGAGAAAGACTTGTGTTTAACGCTTGTGCGAGGATGAATTGTGAATATGCTGTTTGTGTGTCATGTCTGAAGCTTTTAAGCTCGCAGTTGAGATTGCTTGATATGGTATTCTGCTACTTTTTATCTTAAATGAAAATCCACTGGACTGAAATTTGCATAAGCCTATCACTGTTAATCTGATATCATGATGATAAAAAACATCTCAACCAATAATTTCAAGTTTTAACGGTGATGAGTCATCTGTTTTAGTGTTGATTGCATGCATCCCTTTCTGGACATGTGCACTCAAAGGAAATAACTCAGCGAGTTGATAATCTCAGTAAGTTGCGGGCCACAATCTTCCTGCAAGATACTCGTATATGATGAGTTCCCTTTAGTAATTAATACGACGACATATCTATTATTTTCAGGATTTCACATAGTTTTGGAAGCTGTCCTTTTGCTTATTCTGTACCCAAAAAAATATCACATCATTTTAGTTTTGAAGTCGTGGCAGACAGGCTTCTTCTATCAGGTGCAACCTTTGCCTTGTTGCCAATTAATACTACAATTTGAGACGTTTCAGACCATGTTGAGATTTTGGGAAATGTTGCCCTACAATTTAGACATCTTACGTCCTCTTGAATATTTCGCTTGCTGGTCACATATTACATGCAAGATTATCCATCCACTTGTGATGTAAACTACACCTGATGAGTTACCGTCTGTTATTGATAGGAAGGATCAGGAAACTGAAAATAAAAGCTATTCTTCCCTCATCTTTAATTTCCTTAATTAATCATGTTGTAATTTTAAAATTGAAAAGAATAATGTTGCGATGTCGTAAGAGGATGTCTGCCAGTTAAGACCAGGTGTATCTATTAGGAAGTCTCATGTTTAAGCCCTTATAACGTCTGAGAATTTAGGAGTTTGTAGAAGGTGTCGTCGAAGGATTACCTCCATCGTACACCTCAACCTATAGGGCTTTTTGCTGGGGAAAAAAGGGGGATAATACTGCAGCTGCACAAATCAATCGATCTTGATTTAATCTATATGGATTAAAAAACATGTGATTGGAGATACTGTTAGTTTGAGACATTAGATCCATTATTTCTCAAAATATGGTATAGATATGTTCGAGCATGTGGAATTAATGGAACTGTGTAGTGTGAATTGCGCAACGTTTCCTGCCACTTGTATATAGTAAGTATATTTGTAAACTCATTTTCCATGACAAAATAAGACAAGCAATATTGCAACTGGCTAAAGTAATTACATGGGAAACAGAAAAATGGGATGAAAGAAAGAAAAAAGAGAGAGGATAATAGGATGAATTAGTGATCTTGTTCTTAATAGTTTGAACTTATCTTATATACATTTTAATAATCGAAAACCAACTTAATAATAATTAAAATAGCAAGAACAGAATTTCAACTATATAATTAATATATGGATATTCCTCATCCCTACTATATATGAATAAAAATGCGTGCTCCCTCCAGTTTAATTAAGAAGGTAAAATGCAGCACGGTTAATGACATGGGAGTTGCAACTCTACTTGGAAAATCTCAGAATGTCAGTCTCGAAGCCAAGGTGTTGAAATGGGAATTTCTGAGTTGAAGTACCCACAGGATCAACAATTTGGGATGATGAATTCCTTTTGTTTTGATAGTGCTGCTGATGATCCAGGTTTTGATGAGAAGCAAGAAGCTTGTCCAGAAATGACCAATCACCATTGAACCTCCCTGCAGGGTGCACAAATCCACAACCACTCGGTGTTAACCTCAACAAGTTCTGCGAGCACTCAATGTCGTTCATGTTGTTCAAAGAGAGGGGTGACACAAACGATGGGGCAACAGCTGAGTCTGGACTAAATAACTGTGGTAGATGCATGGAGCCATCAAGGGTATAGTCTTCATATAGTGATTGCAAGTGGTTTTGTTTTGGATCTAGTGGAAAAGAAGAAGAGCTGGTCTTCATGTGAGAGAAGTGTACTTCTTGAGAAACTTCTGGTAGGAAACCTCTGGTTTGATTCTTCTTCTTGAAAACCCTGCAGACAACCCAACCATCTTCCTGCCAAAATAGCAACATATACAACATTAGTGCTCTATTTTCATTGAACCAGTCAGCTAAAAAAGAATATGAGATCACACCCATCTTGTAGAATTACTTTAAGTAAATCCCAATCCAAAAATCATGTGCCAGGATGAAGCCCAAGATCTTGGGTCAATGGTGAACTATACCTAATATTTTGTTTGTTTTTTTGTTTATTTTGGAAAAAGAACTCTTGATTCTAGTCGGCGTATATCATTTACCTGAACCTCAGAGTTGTCATCGTCCAAGCGGTACTCATGCATGATCCAATCAGTCTTTTGACCATGAGGAGCACGTCCAGTGTAGAAGACTAGGGTTTTTCTCATACCAATCCTCTGAGAGTTGCTTAGATGGATGGCCTTATCCCTTCCTGTTGCTTTCCAGAAACCTGCGGTGGTTGCCCGGTTTGTTCGAGTCCCGGTTGGATATTTCTTGTCCTTGTGGCTGAAGAAATACCACTCATTTTGAGGACCCGAACCAATCTTGCATTTGTCTGCATTTAGAAAACAAGAATGATGATTGTCCATTTTGGATCTGATGAGTTCACTTTCGCATTTTAATACTACAGTTCGAACTCATACCTAGGGAGCTCTGTAACCCTAACTCATAATTAAGTCCACCTCACCACCAAGTGTTTTAGTTCTTCTTAAAGAACTACCCAATTCAAAGATTTAAGCAGTCAGATGAGGTTTCGATCAAATGATTAATTTTACATTACTCGTTACCGTAGCTAGCTGTGTGGGGATTTTCAAGTTCAAATTGTTGGGTTACTTCATTTTGGAAACATAATTTTTTTTTTGCAATCTAACCTCATTACTCATTACTCATTACTCTAAACTGATAAGGAAGATTTTGAATTGCTAGAACAAAGAAGAAATAATCATCTCACCTCTGAGATCCCATGGCTCAAGTTTATTGAGGTCCACCTCCCTGATAACATCCAGGTCAATGGCTTCATACGAGACCTTCTTCCTCAGATAATAGTACAGAAGCTCTTCATCTGTTGGATGGAATCTGAAACCTGGAGGAACTGATAGTTGCCCGTTTCCTGTCATCATTCTCCCTAAATCTAGTATCGATTTTTGTCCTGAAATTTCAAAAGCAACGAATTAAGAAAACGAAAATGTTCTTTTATGGGCAGCAAGGGAGACAACAGACCGAACATTTCTAGAATATTTTGTGTGCATAAAAATCCATAGGGTTTGTGTAAAAAAAAAAAAAAAAAAGGAGGTTTAAAATACCTTAAACATAGGTCAAAGATTGGAGAATATGTTCCATGGTAAAACCATGCAAAATATGTTTAAACAGGCATGGAAATAATAGTTAGCATGCATAACCTTAATTAGTTTTCAAGACCCAGGTTAAACATTAGTGCTGAAGGGGATCCGGGAAATACATATCATGGTTCATGGTGGCATTTCTTACAAGAAGGATTTCATGAGATCATGTTTCTTATAACTAATCCTCTTATATCTTGTGAACACTCTTTGTTCATTATAAGAAGAGATTCAGAATCCCGTCTATATATCATGTACGTCAAAAGAGTAGAGATCATTCCTTTATTTGTTGTGCATGTAAAAACCCTACTTCTTTCTTCTTTTCGTTTTACATGGGAGGTGTAAAGTGATGCTTCTTTCGTAACATCCTATGAAAATTGCTTTTAGTGTAAAACTGAAGAACAAGAGAAAGAGGTAAAAGAAAACTTAAAGCAGGGTTAGCTCATTTTTCTTCTCAAACACACCAAACAGAATTTTAATGGAAAACCACTAAAAAAAGCATCCCTAAGAATATAAAAAAATAAAACAACCGAGAGAAAATGATGGGAAAAAAAAAAGGGGAAACAACAAGACCTTAGCTGCTGGGAATTAAGAGCTCTGTCCCTGACAAAAGAAAGAAGACAACCCGAACGGCAAAGAGCAAGCGGCGGGGGGCGGCCAAGTCCTTAATTTGCTTCAAGGGCACGGTGAGTGTGTGTGTGCGCGTGCCTGCCTGCCTTTTTAAGAGACTTGCAATTAGAGAGAGATAGAGGTGTGTGGATCAGTGCAAGGTTTAATTAAAGAAGAGTGATCACAAACCTAAGATGGGAACAGAAATAAAGGGAAAACAATAAATAAATAAAAAAGTTGATCAAGAGAAGAAAATGAAGAGGATAACAGCATGCTGGTTATGTCTTTTTGCGATATAGCTTTGGTAAATGTCCTTTGAATGGGAGACCTCATTCCCCAAAATCGCCTCATTAAAATGAAGAAAATCTGCTTAACTGTCAATTACTAATATCAACAGATTATTTAACGTGCATATTTGTCAGCAATCGTGCACATGATAGCCAGACACAGTCAAGAGTCAGAGGAAGAGAGGGGAATGATGGAGAATTCTCCTTCTATTCTTGTCTGTGTGTTTCCCTTGCAATTGTCTTACTTTATTTATTTCTTTCTTAAAATACGGTTTCTTTTAATGATTTGAAAACCAGCCAGGCATGTAGCTAAGAACCCCCAAGAGATACATATATATAAAACAAAATGTCTCCCGTGTATAATAAATTATAACATATACGGTCCAATTATTTCACATCTCGTGTAGCCAGACATTATAATTAATAATCATCCACAATAAATAACTATACATCTCTTGACGTTTTGTTGCTAAATGATGGCTACCTTTTCTCATTGATTTGAGCATGTCTTTGTACGCGATTAAAGATGTCCAGCCATGAGCTGATTTATTGGTTCAAACTAGAATTTTTGGTTGCAGTTTTATAATGCTTGGTCTAATATATACTCATAAAAATTTTTTTTGGATCTGATTAGCACCGCACCTGTTGATTTAGTCTCTGAAATTTGTAAAATCAGAAAATCAATAATCCATAACTATGATTATTATGTTAATTTGAAGAGATTCCTATGATTATATGTATTTTGGTGAAAAAGGACGGATCTAGAAGTTGAACTACGGTTAAAAACTATACCTGCCGAGCAATGCTGAAAGGTTGTTTGGAAATGCGTCTTTTAAAAATTTTAATTTTTTTTTGCTTAAAATTAATTTTTTTTCTTGTTTTCATTGTTTGATATAATGATGTTAAAATTATTTTAAAAAAGATTAAAAAATATACTATTTTGATACCCCTTAGTACTATAACATTGCCCGAAAAAAAGACCCACACCCTGGGATGGGAGGGAAGGATTTTGGCCGAGAATTAATGAAATTTTGTAACTTGCTAATCTGCTTGATAAAGATCGAAACAGAAAAACTACACAGTAATCTCGGGTGATGTGCAATAAATTTTATAGGTTAGGTTCGAAATGTTTGTATCAGAGAATAAAAGTAGCGACCTACTTCTGTTCTACACAGAAACTCAAAAGCATTTAATTATCCTAATCAGGGGAACAAATATACCATTTCTCTTTTTCAAAAAAATAAAAAATAATGCTGGGAAACCTCCTAAATTGAAGGTTAGCTAGGGCGCCCGAAGTTCCAATTAGGTTTCAGAAGACAAGTTCAGGATTATAAAAATCCCATGTTATTATACGTACTCTGAAAACTAGAAGCTGACATGATATGACAAACCTAGCTAAGGCAAGAAAGAACGTTTTAGGATCCCACCTGCAAAGCCCATGACAGATGGGAATGGTTTCTGTTCCAGAGGTCCAATTTAATATCGATCAAATAATAATAAAGATGACAGAACACAATCAAAGGAGAAAAGAGATTCAGAAAATCAGAGTTAATTAATTATGATCGTGGTTTTAATCCATATTTTGAGAAGAAAAGACATGCTTCTTCTACGTCCAGCCAAGGAAAAAAAAAAAAAGAAGATAGTAAAATAATTTTAAAAAAAATTGGGATCAAGATTTCTGAAGTCTGAAGAACCTCCGGTCAACTCAGGGGATAGGAGGATCTATGGCCCTTGAATCATGTTCAGTGAAATGAGGATTGCATCAAATTCAGTGCAGCACTCATATGACTCGGGGTTCCAAATAAATACCATTTAATTCCTCGAAAAATGTGAATTAATTTTATAATTACGTGCTAAACTCTCTTCTTTTCGTCTTCTTTGGCGAGCGTGCTGTAGATTCACGAGGATTGCCCTTCAATTACTTGTATATATGACCTCTTTTTATTTGAGATAATTAAAATGGATTATGAATCTAGTACCTTTCTCTTAACTCTTCTTTTTATTGAAACAAGAAACTTCCTTATGGTAAGGACTTGAGATTAAGGGGTTTGCTCCCTCTGTGATCTCAGATTCGAGTCCTTGGTTGCTCATATGATGGCCACTGGAGACTTACATGGTCGTTAACTTCAGGGCCCGTGGGATTAGTCGTGGTGCGCGCAAGCTGTCCGGACACCCACGTTAATCTAAAAAAAAAAAAACTTCCTTATAAATTAATTCAAAAGTCCCTCATGGCTTGCCTTGCCTGTACTTCAAGAAGAACAATTCCTGTACATGTAATCTGTCATCCATTTTTAGCACGATTAATTAATTAAAATTAAGCTGGACGTTCACATAGGATTTATTCTTAAAATAAAAACAAAAAACAAATATCCTCTTCAAGTAGTGAAGGATCAAGTGGGGACTTGGTAATACCAGTAAATATCGGCCTCAACTGGTTTTATATATATATATATATTATTTTTTGCTCAATTTCAACAAACTGGATGAAATTTCAAACTCGACGTCAGCAATTTCCATTGACATGAACATGTCAAACTCGAGTTAATTTCAGCTCGAAAACGGAAATTAATCTACCACTCCAAAGATATTTTTTTACCACCCATCGACGATGAAAGAGTGCGTTACCACTGAAATCAAATTTCTTTAAAAGTAAAATATTTTTTTCTACAGTTAGTTTTCAGTGGTATAGGCGTATAGCTGCGTTTTTCAAGAAATTTGATTTTTTTTATTTTAAAATTATTTTGGTATTAAAAATAAATTTATTTTGATATATTTAAACACTTTAAAAAATAACCAATACTACAATTTCAAACACTATATTAATCTTTTCCTATTCAATGTATGATATTCTTAATTACTGGAATTTTATAGAATATAAAAAAGTTATCTAACCGCACACTTCAACACTTTACTTTAATTTTATCATGACATTAATGTTTATGAATTTATGTTCAGTAATCGTCCCATGGAGGAGTTGAAACCCTGAAAACATCTCCTCAATCCAATTAAGAAATGATGCTACTAGTAGAGTTAGAGCTCATTATTGAGAAATACATTATATAGGTATATGACATCATCTCACACATCGAAATTCACAAATAAATCGCATGTTGTAAGAAACAAGTACTTTTGAACCGGAAATATTTCAAGAATAAAAGGAAGCAGACATGAAACTAAAAGCTTCTCTGGCTTTAGTTAACCCGGATGGGAGGTCTGAAGAAGACAACGTAGTAAATGCAAGCCAAAGGGATGTAATAAATGGAATAAGATGGTTGATGAGCTTTGCATGGGAGCAAAAGAGAGAGTGAGAAAATGAAAGAAAGAACAGAGCAAAACCTCTCTGAAAGTCCGAGGCATTTACACGTGCTGATCCAACACATTTACTCCATCCAAGGCCTCGATCGGTTCCATTCATTTATTACATATATCTTAGGGTTTTAATTTTTTTAGTGAATTATTTCACTCCCATATGCCTACTCTCACGCAATCTCTTAATTCCTTGCATAATAATTAGAAGACTAGATAGAGTAGGGGATTCCTGGTCAAACACGGTGGAGAAATACAGCCACCAAAACTATATATAATGGTTCATTATAAACACATTAATTTGCATTTATTTTCATAATTTAACAAAATGGAAGTGGCTTGGTGTGCCGTTCCCTTTACGAACACTTCTACTACTGCCACACATATTTATCATTAATGTGCATGGGGGTAGCTTCATGCCAAAGGGAATCCTATGCCATGTACAGATACACGAATACCTTCAAAGTCAGCACTCACTAGCTCCCTTTCGATATCTCTACGATTGACGCATATATATAATGTATAATTAATTACCGATTTCCAATTATACATTGAGAGAGCTGTGGAGTGTTGGTTTTTTTTTTTTTTTGATGGTGTGGTAATCGGTGAGTCAGTTTGCCACTCGGCATCCCCAAAGTATAGTACTGTTGGCTATAGTTGTAGCTTGAGATAATGTGATTATGCTGTTAATGAAATGAAACACAAGTCAAGTCATTGATTTTAATAAAACTCAAAAGAACTAAGTCGACGTGGGCAATATAATAAACTTCTGTAAATTTATCCATCCCATTTAGAAACCCAGTTGATGAGTTTTTAAGTATATTCAGTGATTGTTTGATAATTTGCTAGTTTTTGCCATTATAATCTTAAAATAACATGTTTAAAAAAAATATTTTTAATTATAAGTTTTTTAAAATAAACAAATTAAAAAAATATGTGTTTGGTTAAAACTATGTGAGGTGAATTTTTGTATGCAAATTCTTTAAATAAAAAACAATTATTTTAGTTTCTACAAAACTAAGATTTGAAATATAATTATGTATATGGATTTTTTTAATATTTAGATAAAAAAAATAAAAATTATTACAATAGTAAATGATTCGTAGAAGATAAACTGGATATATTCTCACATGATGTAAAATTCAAGTGGACGTTCCAAGACAAATTCTAAAATCTTACTAGATGCCTTTTTCCTTGATTTTTGAGGTAAAAAGCCTGAAAAGCTAAGAGAAAAAGGAGCCAAGAACTCGTTACCACATGTAATTTTATAAAGATATCCACTCATGAATAGGCTTTGGAGCTGATATCTAGTTAATGAATGAACGACAAACATACGCCCTGGAACCGGCTTTAAGAAATATTTGCGCATTGGGTTCCCTAGTAAATGAAAAATATTTATTACCATAAAATATTTTTTAATAGTGATTGAGAAAAAAAATAATGAGATAATGAAAATAGTTAAAAAAAATATTTTATTGGAATTTATGAAATAAAAATATTTTTTAATAAACAAAATAAGTTTGAAGATTAATAATAAAATATTTTTTATTTATTAATTTTATTATAAAATATTTTACTAGAAATAAACACAAAAAGTTTTTAAAAATAAATTTTCAAAATTAAATATAGAAAAATCTGGAAATTTTTTTTCTATAAAATATTTTATGACAAAACAAAATTGGTTATCATTTAGATTTGTTTTAAACAATGTGTCATGAAATT